AAAGATAAAAAAATAGGCAAAAGGTATCACAAAAGAAGATATTCAAGTGGTCAATAAACCATAAAGAAGTGCCCAACATCATTAGCCATTAGGGAAATGCAACTTAAAACTTATTGTCATTAAGTGCCGTTCAGTCTGGTCTGACTCAGCAATCCAAGGAGCAGTTGGTGAGTTTGAACTACTGACCTATGGTTCAAACCAATTTTGCAGTTCAAACCAACCTTGCAGTTCAAACCGACTTTGCAATTCAAACAGACTTTGCAGTCTAGTGTTTATCCTACAGTGCCACACCAGATCTCCAACTTAAAACTATATTCAATGAAATCCTATTATAAACCAACAGAATGATCAGTGGAAAAGATTGGCAACACCAAAGCTTGGTAAAGTTACAGGTCTACCAGAACCCCCATACATTGCTGGTGGGACTGTAAAATGTTACAATCATGTTTGTTATATAGTTAAATATACATTCATCATATGATCCAAATATTAATCTCCCTAGATCACTATCCAAGAGAATTAAAAACATGTGTCTACACATGCAGTTGGAGAAGGACATCATACTTGGTAAAGTAGAGCGTCAGTGAAAAAGAGGAAGACTCCCAAGAAGATGGATTGGCACCGGGACAGCAGCAATGAGCTCAAGCCTGTTAACAATTGTGAGGGGCGCGCAGGATCAGGCAGTGTTTCGTTTTGTTGTGCATAGAATCTGTAGGAGTTGGAGCAAACTTGAAGGCACCTAAAAACAACAGCAATAACAATGACACACACACACAAAGCCAAACAAGAACACCAATAATAAAAACAAAACAAAACAAAACCTAAACCAACTCATAGCAACTCTATAAGACAAAGCAGAACTGCCCCATAGAGCTTCCAAGGCTGTAAATCTTTACAAAAGCGGTCTGCCTATCTTTCTCCTGCCAATATTGAGAAGTACTGTTAAAAAGTAAAATTGCATAATGGGTAAAAGTGTCTCAGTGAGCGTGTGTGTTTTTGGGGGTGGGGTGGGCACAGGTAGATAGGGGTGACTAGGGATGGTTCTCAGGAAAGGTCACACTGGAGTAGAAGGCAGATTGCCAGGAAGGTAAGACCGTTGAAGAAAATCTAGAAGTGTAGCAAGTTTATCCTGGACACAGCAGCCAGCTGCTCAGGTTGAAGAACAGAAATGAAGCTGATGTGTAAAACCAGGGTAGGAAATGGCGTTGCCCAGAGAGGTGGGCGGCTGGGGCCAGGCCACAGGGAGCCAGATGGGTCTGGTAGAGTTTGAATTTTAAGTGTGAGGTGGATACATTTGCACAGCAATATTCAATTTTGAAAGCACTCACACCATCTCATTTGATCTGTACAAGATCTCTGAGGTAGGTAGGGCAGATACTAGTGTTAATTCCATTTTATCAAGAAGGAAACTATAACCCTGTGGATTAGAAAATTTGCTACAAGTCACATGGTTCAGGCAAGATTCTTGACTCTACATCAGTAGATTTAACTTTGACTGTGTCTTACTATCCCCTGGGGGGGGGGGCTGAATAAAATTCCCAGACTGGATTTAAGGTCTGAGGGGTGGCCAAAGGAGCCCTGGTGGTGCTCTGAGTTAGACATTGGGCTGCTAACCATAAGGTCAGTTGTTCAAACCCACCAGCCGCTCCATGGAAGAAGATGAAACTGTCTCGGTAAAGATTTCTAGACTCAGAAACTCTAAGGAGCAGTTCTATTCTGTCCTATGGGGTCAATATGAGTCAGAATCAACTCTGTGGCAGTGGGTTTCCTTCTGGTTTGGGATGTGACCCAGAAGGATTTTGAAAGCTCTCCAGGAGATTTTAAGGCAACTGAGATGAACAATTATAATAGGCTTCTCACTGCGCTGGCCTACCTCCTTGACACGGTGCACTGAAGCCCACTGAAACCACGGGGGGCCTTTTAGGAATTACTGAGCCCCAAGCCTGAGCCTAAACTCAGAATCTCTGCAGGGGAGGCTCAGTACTGGCTTATTTGAAACGTTCCTCATTTGTCTAGCTGCTTTGGAGCTTCTAGCACTAAGTTTTTGGACTTATCTGTTGATCTCTCCTGTCTTGTTCTCATTGGGATTCATGCCTTTTTTCTTGTTTTTATTCTTTTCTTATCATTTTCAGGGGACTTCAGAAAGGGGTGGATTTTAAGTGGGTGCATAGTTTAACTGGGAGTCTGCTAAATTTGAATTAAAACATTTAAATACTGAATTTTAAAATTGTTGTTGTTAAGACTTGTTGAGTTGGTTCTGACTCGTAGTGACCTTGTATAGGGTTTCTGAGAGCAACTGGTGGGTTTGAACCGCCAACCTGTGGTTACCAGTCCAGTGCTTATCCGACATTGCCATACCGGGGCTCAATTTTTTATTTCTAGGATTACCATATTTTTACCCAAATAACATGGTTTTTGCAAAGCATGTAACTCCCTCTCACCCTAGTTTCCTATGCACAATATATGTGTGTGTGTCATTTATGTGGGTGTGTTATATGTGGAAAATATGATAGCCATATGCCCTGTAAGAAATTCAAGATGAAAAAAGGACACAGAGTGTAAACTGGAAGTCCTCTGACCCTGCTCCCCATACCCGTTCCCTAGGGTTAACTGCTTTTCTGCTAGCTAAATGTATTGTTCAATTACAGTGACTTTATAAAGTTTTCAATATATCTATTTCATCTGCAGTTTTGGATCTTTAATGTTTAATATAAATATTTCTATGTCTTTTATTGTATTCCACTGCATCTTTGTGCCTTTGTACTTTTCTTGTGCCTGGTCTGCTCACATACCCTTTTCTTGGGTAATCACTATACAACATTTAAGTCCTAGCCCACAGGCCTCCATCCATTCTTGGCCCACAGAGCCTTTTGAAATCTCCTAGGCAAAATGAATGTTCCCTTCTTTGTGTGCTATACCACTTTGTTCCTACCTCTCTCCTAATACTTCTCACACCATTTTGAGAGTTATTCATTTTCTTATCTTAATGCCTATAAACTGCAAGCTGGAGATGATGGGGGCTGTATTATTCACTTCTATACCACTGTGACAAGGAGCTCTGGTAGCGCAGTGGTTATGAATCGGGCTGTGAACCGCAAGGTCAGCAGTTCGAAACTACAAGCTGTTCCACCGGAGAAAGATGAGGCTTTCTGCTCCCGTAAAGATTTACTGCCTCAGAAACCCTGTACAGGGTCTCTATGAGTCGGAACTGACTACACGGCACGTAACAACAGCAACAACATACCACTGTGGCGGAATCCTGGTGTGGCACTGTAGGATAAAGCACTCCACCAAAAGGTTGGTTTGAACTGCAAGGTTGGCAGTTCAAACTCACCAGCCACTCTCTGGAAACCCTGTACAGGGTCTCTATAAGTTGGAACCCACTCAATGGCACTTAACAACAACAGCAACATGGGATAAATTAAGGGACTCAATAAGCAACTAGTTATTCAAGCCCTATATACTGTATAGTCCATCTTCCCCCACTGATGTATCATGACAGCTCGGTCAAATACTCTGTGTATGCCTGGATCTGTTTCTGGCCTTTACAACAGTTTAATTTTTCCCTCTCACTATTCTCATACTGAGGAGCTCTCCTAATGTACTGGTTCAACCCTCAATTGCTAACCCAAAGTCCATAGTTTGAGTCCCCCATTGCTTCACATGAGAAAGATGTGGGAGTCTACGTCTGTAAAGATTCATGATCATAGAAACCCAAAGGGGCAAAGATCTGATGGGGCATTTCCACTTGTCCTATAGAGTTGCTATGAGTTGAAATTGACTTAATGACCATGGGTTTTTATTTCGTTTATTTTAAAATTCTTATACAAATCTTCATGGTCTTAATATTTATTGCTTTATAGCAAATATTGATATATGAAAGGGCAACTTCCTGAAATGCTATTTTTCTTCAAGAGTGTTTCGACTAAGCTTTGCCTTTTGTTTTACTACATAAATTGTAAGTTAGCTCATGAAGATCCAGAAAGAATCCTATCGGAAATGTGATTGCAATTGCATTGATTTAATCCCTATCTTGTTCCCCCCTGGGAACTAACTCAATAGATGTTTGTAGAATAATAACTATCTCCAAAGTACATCTTATAAATAAACATGAACCTTAGGACTTTAGATAACTAAGATTAACTCTTCCATTGTTGTCCTTAGTTGCCTGGCGTTAATTCAGACTCAGGATTGACCCGGTGTGTTACAGAGCACAAGTTTTTCCAAGAGCTTCTGGGTGAATTTGAACTGCTTTCCTTTTAGGTACTAATTGTAGGCTTATTGCACAATTCAGACTGTCCATCCTCCTCACTTACTTGTTCTTATACTTCATTTAAATTTTAATATGTTGTGTACCGTCGAGTCGGTTCCAACCTATAGCGACCCTCCTTGTAAAGGGTTTCTGAGGAGCGGCTAAGTGAGCTTGAATCACTGACCTTGCTGTTCAAAACGACTTTGCACTCCAGTGCATTAACCCTCGAAGCCATACCATGACTCCTCTAAACCCTATGGTGGTGGTGTGCTGTGAAGTCGATTCCAACTCTTAGCTAGCCTGAAATCCATACGGGAGCAGAGAACTTCATCTTTCCCCTGCGGAAAGGCTGGTAGTTTCGAACTGCTGACCTAGAGGTTAGCAGCGTGCCTCGTAACCACTACACTATACCAGAGTTCCTTTGGAAGCCTTATAAGGGGTCACTGTGAGTCGAAACTGACTCCACAGCACTTAGCAACAACAGGCATTACTTGGAAAGTTTCTTTAAAACGTTTTCAGTGATGTTTCCGGACGGCCAAGGCAAAACAAGGTCACCTGCTGGAACGTATCTGTGACCCCTTTGCCTCCATTAACGGCGCCTCCCGTCAGGCGGGATCGCGGTGATTCTTTGGCCATAGTCCCCACGGCTTAGTGAACTGACAAGAACTACAAGTCCCATCAGGCCGCGCGGCGTCTCGGTTTAACCAAGCGCAATCGGAGGGGGGAAGTGGCGGGGAGAGCATTCCCAGTGAACTCCCGGCAACCAGGCTACTGCAGGAAGCGGGTCGCAGCGACTGTTTCCCTCGGGGTGAGTAGGGTGCAGCACACAGGAGGTCAGCGGCGAGCAAGGGCAGACCCTGCCTTGAGGACGCACTGGGCGTGGAGCCTGGGCGTGGGGAAGTCAGTGTGGACATGCCGGGGGACTGTCTCTGCAAGCCCAGGGAAGCAGCGAGGGGAGCCCGTCCCCGTAACCTTGTTACCCCGGGCTTGGCGCGCAGTCACGTGGCCCGGGTGACGTGTGGTGCTCCGCCCCTCCGGGACTCCAGCTTGGAGTCCCACGTGGCCAGAGGAGCGAAAGTGTGGACTGCGTGCTTTGGTGGCACAGCCTTCGGAGCACCGGCGTAGGTGGAGCTGGAGGAGGACTGCGGGTGGCTCACCCAGACACTTTCACCTCCAGGTGGCCTTGTGGGCACCTAGGCAGAGGCAGCTGCGTCTGGATTGTTGTTCTCTGATCCGTCGTCAGAGCTTTGTCGAGCCTGTACTTCTAACTCACACAATAAATGTGTGCTCATGATTGTCATGTGGGAACTGCAGCCTTCTAAAAGGCACCTAGTACCGCATCATCTCAGGTTAAGTGGTATTTACTTGCTTTTGTAACTAGGAAGTAATTCAACTCAACAAGTACTTATTGATCACTCCGTGGTAATTGGCTCTGAGCTCATATATTTGTCCAGTTGAAGTGAGTTAGAGTCTACTTGGGCCTTCACACATTTTCTTTAGCATTTTCTTAAGTAATTCTGACGTTAATATGTATCACCATCATCCTGGGAGCTTGTTGCAACACAGAATGTTGGACCCAGCCCACAGATTTTTCTGATTCAATAAGTCTGCACCATGATTTGCATTTCTAACAAGTTCCAAGAAGTCAGCTGTCCTTCTGTGGTTTCTCACTCTTGGCAACCTACTGAGTGGTGCATGCTAGCAGTTAGTAACATGCTAACTGACCACCAAGAGGTGACATGGATTTACTTCCCAAACACTAACCTTTAAAAACCTAATGGAGCACAGTTCTGCTCTGATGCACTTGAGGCCCTCGTATTTTGAGTAATAAGCTTCTTTTATTCTTTTCTTTTTTCTGCCTATTTCCTTTTTTTTTTTTTTAAATTTAAGGTTTTTATTGTAGATTGAGTGAAAGTTTACAGGTCACATCATCAGTTTCACATTCAACAGTTCATATAACTTGTTTCATTACATTGATTATAATCCCCTCCATATACCATCAGTTAAAAGTATTTCTCTTTATCCACTTTAACTTTTTTAAAAAAACACA